TCGTTTGGATTCTGTCTGCATTGAGCCCCGTGTGATAAGGTCCTATGTCAGCATGTTCTTCTCTTGTATTTTTATGTCCAGCCATGAGATTAGCAGTGAGGGGTTAGATCAGGCTCATGAGGAGATTTCATGCATTTGCCATTAAAATCAGCATTCAGGCAAAATGAAAACACAACAGAGCAGTTAAAAACATTATAAACTAAAAAGGTAAGGATCTAAACAGTGCTGGGGAAATGTGTGTTCAACCAGATGTTATTGGGCTGTAACTCTCACCCACCCTCCCCACTGATTCAGTTGGCTTGAGTTGAAGGGAGCTACAGGCCTGAAATATTTGGAGGACCACATATTCCTCAATGTAAAGGAACTGCTATGCCACAGCAAATAAAAACAGGAAGAAAATATATCAACTCAGCACCAATTAAATTTCCCTGGGGAGGCTGTTTCCTATTCAGGGCAACACAAAGAAACAAGAAGCACAGTTCTATCCACATCAGGATGAATACCACTTCCCATCAAATGAATGACCCATTAACAGCTCCTTGGTCTTGTCCGGATTAATTGACATCTCTTCATGGCTCCCGAACTCAATACTTCACTGATAAAAGGAACCAGTTCAGCACTTTCACAGCTTTGGGTGATTTTGATGGCAAGAAGGAGCACAGCTGGATGTCATGGCATACAAACAACACCTCATTCTAAATCCACAGTTGCTATCATTCATGAGTTTTATGTAGAAGAGAAACAGAATAGGGGACACAATAAAGGCACAGAGGATACAACATCATGCTTTCCATAGGGCACAGAAATGGCTTCAAAAAGCACTCCCTGAAATGATTATACAGTCCCCCAACTGCAAACAGTGGTCTAGATGGACAGTTCAGAAACATCTACATGACTGATGGCACTGAAAACTACTGAGTGGCCTAGGGGAAGTAATCAGGCCCTCCTCCTGGCATAGGTCACCCTATGCCAATCTTGTTTTAGTGCCAAACAAACAAACAAACAAACAAACAAAAAACCTGAGGCCTAACTGAATAGGTCCAGATAATCACCCACATCTTACTTGGAAAACAGTGTATTTTTGCATTCAGCTGGTATATCATTAGAAAATCACTAGGTGTATAGAGGTCCTGTTGCTGCTGTTGTTTACTAACAGTAAATAAAATGCACTACCACACCAGGTCTTGGGTGATTTATCTCCCCTTGCCTCTCCTATTACAGTCCCCAAGGTTCCTTGATGCATTTTAAGTTACAAGAGCAACGTGCATATTCAAGATCTCTGAACAAGTATGGCATAAATAACGTCTGTGTGATTCCGAGTACGTACCCTTGTGCAAGAATGTAAGAATTGTCATGCTGAATCAGCTCAATGTCCAACCTACTCCAGCACTTCTTCCAAGATTCCCAGCAACAATCAGGCTGATCTATGTTCATTGGAAAGAGCACAGCCATCCACCAGTGGACTGCAGTTGCCCAGGAGCATGGGCAAAGTAATGGCACTTTAACTGTATTTATTTTCAACAAAATAAAATGATCTAGACACAACATCACTTTGGGATTCCTGTTGTGTATTGTGGGTGTGGGTGGGTGTTTAAGATAAGCCATGCTTGCCATTCTTAACATTGTACCACAAAAGATAACATATATGCAGGCGTACGCATAATGCTTCTCTAGGGAAAGCAGATGTTCAGGCTCTCCTAGGGCCTTTACAGACTGCCAGAAATAGTGCAGCTTGAGGCCACTTTAACTGCCCTGGCTCAGTGCTAGGGAATCATGGGAATTGTATTTTTTTTCTGGGACATTGAGCCTTCTCTGCCAGAGAGCTCTAGTGCCACAATAAACTACAGTTCCCATGATTCCCTAGCACTGAGACAGGGCAGTTAAAGTGGACTCAAGTTGCACTATTTCTGGCAGTCTGTAAAGACCCTTAGACACATACATCTGTATGCAATATGACTCTTTGAAGGCAAAAGGGGAAGAGCTATTATTCAGTGACAAAGCACATACCTTTAATCCAAGCCTGGCACCTCTGGTTTAAAAAATGTTATGTTGCAGAGCTGAGAAAGACATCTGCCTTGGGGTCCTAAATATTCACTGCCACGGCTACAGGGACCAACTAGAGTAAGGATGCTTCGTATATCTATAACTTTCAGCCTTAAAGGTCATATTCAAATATCTTACATTAGTAAAAATAGCATGTGTGCATATGTATAAAAATGAGACTTGCAAGCCAAGCTTTGATATGAAAGTCAGAGGGTAGGGAAGAGAACAGGATAAAATTCTCAACCAAGGTTGAGAGCTATTTACAAACCAATTCAAAGTATGAGATTGCCCCCTCTCCACTTTTATTCTCTAAAAAGCTGCAGTGCTGGCTGAAAAACCCCTAGGTTTTGGTACTGTGTGTATACAGTATGCCTCAGCCAGCACTCTTTATAATCATATTTCAACAGAAACAGATGATCACCATATAGGACCTTATCAAACGCTGGCCACGAAGCGAAAGGTAAGTGAAAAC